ACAAAAAAAGGACTGGAAGGGACCTTCAGTGGTCATCTAATCCAGCCCCCAAGACCTTGGCATTAGGGTGCCAGCAAGCTAACCACTAAACTGACTGCAGCAGCAGGACTAAAGTTAACTTGTTTGAAGTTATGCAGACATATGCATTTGCAAGATCACAACCTTGTACGTGGATTTCCCTTTGTCAGAGATACATCTTACAGCTGAACAGGATTTAATATTTTAATGCTACATTTTAATATTGATCATCTAATAAAAACCTCCTCTTTGTAAACTTGCACATCAATTAAAATAGGAAACTCGTTGAGTCAAAATGAAAATGTACTTTATTGCCTAGTGATGAACAGCTGGCAATGAGTGACCTGCTCTGCAACATTTCAATTACTAGTCATGCTGTGATTTCTAGAGCCCCAATCTTTCTCCCACTGATATCAAGGGCCAAGCTTGCTCCAGAGTGAGCAAAATTCAGACCTAAGTTCTGCAGATAATTTTTCAGAAATTGTACAGCTTCTACCACTTATGCACTGTGTTTCTATTTCCCCTGTAAGAAAAGCAAAAATGTAACTATGATGTTCATGTCATTGTATCCCATTGTTTTTGCAATGGGGGAGAGTTTGATTCTGTGCTGTGCAATATAGGGCTGCATCACAAAACCCACACTCCAGGATGGGGAGTGAAAAGGATAGCTTTCAGCTACCTTTGAGCCTTCTCAGATATGAACAGGGCTGATAGAATCGGAAAGATTTTTCCCCAGCAAAAGCCAAAGGCCAGATTCTGCCCCTTTCCTCTGTGAGAAACATCACTGATTTCTGAGTGAAATAATCAAGATGGAAGAATCTGGTTCTAAAATAGGTCCAGCACTGCTTAGGCTGTATCTCCTGTCACTGGGTGGGAGTGCCTCCAGTTCAATGGACCTTGGACTTCTAAGAGGGGTAGCAGCTGTGTGTAGGATGAAACATCTAGTGATCCCATTTTCTGAAAGCACAATCTCTAGTCAAGGGAAGTATGGACACTGCATGACAGACACAGAAAAAGGCAATCAACCATGCAAGATGACCTGCCACTATAGAAGAGAGAGAATTATATTAAACACTGAATCCGCATGCCTAACTCACTATGGTTGCATGTTCAAGAAGGAAGGTAGTCAACTAGCAAGGTGGGCAGGATCCAGAGTGTACTCCCGTAAGAAATGTTTTCAGAACGGTAAGGTGCATTTTAAATGCACAAATGGGTGATAACATGGCCTGCCTCTTTCAGACTGCAGATCGTCAAGAACATAGCATCGAATTCAGCATAAAAGAGACCAGATGTTCCAAGTCCACATCCCATGTGAATGTATCTGAATGTGATTTTCTAGATGACGCACATGTTGTAAGTAGGGCACTGAATGAAAGAGCTTGTGCAAGCTGTGTGAGCAACAATGACAATATTTCCAGGTGTCTCTGAAAGTGATACGCCCAAATCAAAATTCCAGAAAACAGCAAAGTTCAAATCCAGCTCTGTATCTCCATTTGTCCTTTTCTTAAAATAAGGAGTTGATCCAGAACCCCAAATCCAAAGATGACTAGAGTTTGGAAGATTTCAGAGTTGGATCTTTGTCACTTGGGTTCATGTCTAATTTCTTATTCTGACATGTGTTTTGAAGTTCTACTTATTACCCACTTCTTATTACCCACTTTCACCCACAGACAATGCATTGTTATTTTTCTCTACAAAAAATTTTAGGTAACTTGAGTTACATATTTTGAGTGAAATTAGGCATTGCCACCCCTCAGCCTTGGATGATAAATTGCCAAAATTTCCTATAGATTTCTCCTTCCCTTCCCCCCCAGGTAATAGTGAATTAATATGAATCATGAAAAAGAGGCTTTAGAGACTCACACAGAAAGGATGTCCATACTTACAGTGAAATACCTGGCCTTAATCATTCTTTGTATTTTAAGTATGACTTAGTAGGTAAATACCATTGGCCAGTTTTTTCAAAACAAGTGCTTAAAGCTAGGTACTAAGTGGCCTGACTTTCAAGCTGCTGAGCAATCAACAGTTTCCAACTACTTCCTCTTTATAAACCCTGAATGTATATTGTTTTTTATTGTGCAGCATGTGGGATTCTGTCAAGCAAGCCTGTTGGTCACCACAGAAGGTCTTGATGCCATCGATATATCCTGTGAAATCTATGACACCCTGGTATGCAATCAGTTCTCTCTACCATTACAGAAAGTTCACTGGTAACTTGCTAATGCAGACTCCACAGGCCACTGAACAGAAAGAAGCAATGTCAGTAAATCCACATTGTAGGCAAGAAGCTGGAGCCAAGGAGACAAATGGAAAGGTGATTTTATGCCATTTCTGCACTCCTCCCTAGGCCATTGGGCCAGGCTAGTCCTTTTTTTGATAATTTTTTGGCAGATCTCTGTAGGAAAATATTTGGCCAGTTGATTTGTTTCGTTTCATTGGTTTCTTGTTTGGGTAATGTGGATTGGTCATGCAGCAACATATGTTCCTGCCCCTCTTTTCTTGTCCAATTTCTAAGAAATTACTGTTACTAAAACTGCAAAAGAAAGCCTTGTAAATAATTCTACTCCTTCCCTCTCTCTCTTTCTCTCTCTCTCTCCCCCTCCCCTCAC